GTTGGCTGGTTGATGGTTGGTAGGTCAGGGTGGTTGGCAGGTAGAGGGTGGTTGTCAGGTAGAGGGTGGTTGTCATATCAAGTTATCTCAGGAGATGTACCCTGCATGTGACTTCCATTCGACCGAGGTCAATGACCCCACAAAAAAAAAACAAAAAAAAAAAAACAAAAAAAAAACAAAAAAAAACAAAAAAAAAACAAACAAACAAAAACAACAACCCCACAAACGCTAGCAGAACTATAAAACACACAAGACCCACTAAAGCACGGAAAATACCGATAGATTCAATCAATGTAAACTCCTAGACTTTAACTCACATGTGCTTCATTTCACTTGCATGACAAATAGTTTTGAATCGGAATTCATCTCGACGCATCTAACATAACGATTATATCTTCACGCGAACTTTAAGCCAGGAATGCAGATTACAAAAATTCTTTTCACATTTTTTTGTGAGTAAAGTATACGCTTTCGATAAGCTTGAGCTAGCCCGATTACTTTAATGTTGGCATTTATGGAACTTTCAAGATAATGGTCTTTAAAACATAATGATTGCGATTAGCTTAAGATTGATTGCAATTAGTTTCTGCTGTATTATAAGGTGAAGCGCCTTGAATGGCCTTTTTTTTTAAATTTAAAAAATACTCTGACATTAAAAAAAAAAACGAAAAAAAAAAAAACTTTCCTGAAATTGTCATGTCGTGCGTATAATCTTAGAGGTAAAAGGGGGCGTGTGCATAGAGCGAACAAACAGAAACCTAAATCCCCACTTCAAAAGTTTCGAACTACAGCCTATATTAGACCGCGTTTACACTTGCGACATGTATACTAAACAAGTGTAGACAAAAAACAACAAATTCGCCATAGGGCCAAAGATAATTTTATCAGAACATAATAGGGGAGCTTACCTCACTTAAAGCGAAGTTTTTTTTTTCTAGACATGTATAGTATACATGTCGCAAGTGTAAACAAAGTTATTTGTATCGTCTGTATAGTATAATTGGAGTGACGTCATACAACCAAAGATATAAATAAACTCAGCAGTAATAGACCTTAGGCCTTCGTCCGAATATTCTTAAAGAATTTTATAATACTAACAAAACTACGAGAATGACTTTGTACAGCCATTTACAATCATTACATACTTGAAACGTCTTCAAACTTATCTAAATTTGTCTAAATTTGTCTAATAATACTATAGAAACATCAGTGTATTTATTAATTAATTATATTTCAATTAAGTTCTTATAATTAATTAATTAATTTAAAAAATGTGTTTAGAAAAGTACTGGTATATTTAACGAGATCATTAACGAAATGGTTGTGTCTAGAAGGTATCTTTACAAAATAAAATAAACAAAAAAAATAATGCACTCATATCTTCTAATCTTAAAAGAAACAAATTTTTTTTATTAACAAGCGAATTAAACTGAAAGGCAATAAATCGGACGTATGAAGAAAGGGAAAAAATTGTGTTTCTGCCTAATCTAGAAATCAATCAATCAAAAACAGGGCCGGTAATTAATCAACGAAGTAAAAAAAAAGCCGGAGATTCCTCGCCGGATTAGCCGGCCTTATTGCAGATATCACGCTCATTGGGCGAGAGGCCGGGATAGGCAGACAATCACAGGGAGAGGAGCCAATCAAATCAATGCGTCCAGTTTGTCGTGGTTTTTTTTTGTCTCAGTTTTCGAGTTTCGCTGATCAGAAGAAAATTTAAAAAACAAACATCTAAAACATTTTAAATTTTAAAATCTGTGTGAGATTAACAGAAAACTAGTTTTATTTGTTTTAAAATATTTGAAAAGTTTATTTGTGGATAAATACATTTAAAAAATCAGGAGTAAAAGTAAAGTGCATTTATTTTCATTAAACTTGGCTTTTTAAAACCCGGATGTGAGTTCCCGTGACGAGCAGGTCACGTGATACACACACACACATACAGCACACACATACACACACAAACACACACACACACACCATATCCAGCACCACGGTTGGCCACAAGCTCTGGATGGGCACCCTACAATCCACCTTAAGATGCCATGGACAGTCGTGTTTTTTTCGAACTCGCGGCTTTGAAGATTGTATTGGTGATGTCTACCACCAGAGGCGTAGCGAGGGGGGGGGGGGTGCGGGAGGTGCGGACCGCACCGGGTGACACCATTTAGGGGGGTGACACCATTAAGTGCCGCACCCGGGTGACACCCGACCTCGCTACGCCACTGTCTACCACTGTACAATCCCACACCATTAGACATGACGTCAGTACATTTTTAAAACCAGCAAATACCAACGGCGAATGTCCGTGAATGATACATTAACGTTAAGATTAGTTTTAAAAAAATATTTTAGGCTCTGTTTTCTCCACTTCCTTTAATTAAATGCTAGGATGGTGTGTAACTTGGTGTGTTGTGCAAATGTTTTTCGGTCTGTAGTACACATGTATCTTGGTGTCAAGTACACAACTACCAAGGTGTGTCTATCTTGGTGTTTACACACCTTTCATGGTGTGTCGTACATGTCTATCATGGTGTATTGTACATATCTATCTTAGGGTGTGATATACAAATCTATCATGGTGTGTTGTACACACCTATCATGGTGTATTGTACACATCTATCTTAGGGTGTGATATACAAATCTATCATGGTGTGTTGTACACACCTATCATGGTGTATTGTACATATCTATCTTAGGGTGTGTTGTACAAATCTATAATGGTGTGTTGTACACGTCTTAGGGTGTAGCACAGTCTCGCAACGACGTTTTTATAAAAACCAGACTTAAAAGATAAACAAAAAACACCTTATCCACCTTTTCTGGTGTCAGTCACTAGACAAATCTCAGCTGGCTAGCAGACGATAGGCCTAGAAGGTAGATGGGCAGCAGACGGGAGAAGGTAGATGGGCAAGCAGACGATAGAAGGTAGATGGGCAAGCAGACGACAGAAGGTAGATGGGCAGCAGACGACAGAAGGTAGATGGGCAGCAGACGACAGAAGGTAGACTAAAGCTAGAGTTTGGACACCTGAAGCTCACCATTAGAGTTTCCCCACTCACTGGCATCTATGTATACAGCCAGTTTGTTAAAGACAAGGTCGAGGTCAAGGTTAATTTAACACAGGTTTTGAAAAATATTTAATTCTATTAAGAGGTAGTTATGGAAGAATCGATAGAGTTTAACCTTTAAAAAATGATAATCGTCTACCTAGATAAAAAAAAAAAACCCTGTGTGGATGAGAAGTCCGGTGGGGTGAGGTGGGAGAGGGTGGGAGGTTAATATCACGTGATGCCAGGATGGCTAGAATAACACGAGCGTGCTATTGCTGGTGATCGAAGGTAAACTTTTCTTCATCTACCTGACAGGTGGCACTAAACACGCGCCGTGAGCAAACACGAGTGTCTGGAACCATCCCATCACAGGGGGGGGGGGTGTGACCCAACTCATCATAGGGGGGGGGGGTGACCCTACTCACCATAGGGGGGGTGACCCAACTCACCATAGGGGGGAGGGTGACCCAACTCACCATAGGGGGGTGACCCAACTCACTATAGGGGGGGGGTGACCCAACTCACCATAGGGGGGTGACCCAACTCACCATAGGGGGGGAGGGTGACCCAACTCACCATAGGGGGGTGACCCAACTCACCATAGGGGGGGGTGACCCAACTCACCATAGGGGGGGGAGGGTGACCCAACTCACCATAGGGGGGGGTGACCCAACTCACCATAGGGGGGGTGACCCAACTCACCATAGGGGGGTGACCCAACTCACCATAGGGGGGGGGTGACCCAACTCACCATAGGGGGGGTGACCCAACTCACCATAGGGGGGGTGACCCAACTCACCATAGGGGGGGGACCCAACTCACCATAGGGGGGGTGACCCAACTCACCATAGGGGGGGGGGTGACCCAACTTCTTATAGGGGGGGTGATCCATCTCCCCATGATGGGATGTGTGACCCATCTCCCCATAGGGAGGGGGTGACCCAACTCACCATAGGGGGGGGTGACCCAACTCACCATAGGGGGGGGGGGTGTGACCCAACTTCTTATAGGGGGGGGGGTGATCCATCTCCCCATGATGGGATGTGTGACCCATCTCCCCATAGGGAGGGGGTGACCCAACTCACCATAGGGGGGGGTGACCCAACTCACCATAGGGGGGGGGGGGTGACCCAACTCACCATAGGGGGGGGGTGACCCAACTTCTTATAGGGGCATTTGAGACCCAGCTCCCCATAGCGGATGTGTGACCCCACTCGCCATAAGCGGATGTGTGACCCCACTCGCCATAAGCGGATGTGTGACCCCACTCGCCATAAGCGGATGTGTGACCCCACTCGCCATAAGCGGATGTGTGACCCCACTCCCCATAGAGGGATGTGTGACCCAACTCCCCATGGATGTGTGACACAGCTTCCCATAGAAATGTATGAGCCACATTAGTTCCAGAACCAGCTCCTCTAGTATTTGTCCCAGCTTGTAGCCTTGTGTTGAGCCCGGCTGCTAATGTTTAAGGCTAGTTTTTATTCTCACAAGAGACCCGAGTAAACGACGTAGTTTTATCAAACTAACACTAACCTAACAATATCCACTATGGCAAAGTCGTTTTATCCAAATTTTATCAGATATTGACATTGGCTATCAAGAGATCTGGACATTACCTTAAGATCTGGACATTGGCTACCAAGAGATCTGGACATTGGTTGCCAATGTAAATAAAACAACAAAAGTTGAAGATGAAATAATCCAGGACGAGCACAACGTCAATTCGTGCAGACACACGAGTTAAAGGCGTACTGGGGTCACAGAGTGCTTTTAATTACTCCTAAAATTCTAATTAATTTTTTTTTGGCTTTTAATTTAGGTTTGCTTAATCTTAAAAAAAAATGAATCTATAAAAGTGCAGTAAGACAGCATTAATTGTGATTTGAAATCCTCACGACAAAAAAATTATTTAAAAAGGCTGAAAGAAGGGAGATAATCTCTCACCTGGGCGACTTTGTCTGACACGTTCTGCTTCATGTTGGCCACGTTGGGCAGGATGATGCCCTTGGGTGGGGCCGGTGCCCCATCCTTGTCCCCCCTTCTGCTGCCCGCCTCTGCCACGTTGCTGAGGCTGTCGTCCAAGGGACGTAACCGTCGGTTGAGTTCTGAGTCACTGGAGGCTTGGCTGACGTAGTTGGGTTTGACGTGGTTCACAACACTGGGACCTGTGGAGGTAGGGTTGGGTTCATGGGTTAACTGATGTACAGCTTGGGTTGGGTTCATGGGTTAACTGGTGTAAAGCTTGGGTTCATGGGTTAACAGTTGTAAAACTTGGGTTAGGTACATGGGTTAACAGGTGTAAAGCTAGGGTTGGGTACATGGGTTAACAGGTGTAAAGCTTGGGTTGGGTACATGGGTTAACTGGTGTAAAGCTTGGGTTGGGTTCATGGGTTATCTGGTGTAAAGCTTGGGTTGGGTTAGGATTGGGTTCATGGGTTAACAGGTGTAAAGCTAGGGTTGGGTTCATGGGTTAACAGGTGTAAAGCTTGGGTTGGATTCATGGGTTAACAGGTGTAAAGCTTGGGTTGGGTTCATGAGTTAACAGGTGGAAAGCTTGGGTTAGGTTAGGGTTGGGTTCATGGGTTAACAGGTGTAAAGCTTGGGTTAGGTTAGGGTTGGGTTCATGGTTTAACAGAACAGGTGTAAAGCTTGGGTTAGGTTAGGGTTGGGTTCATGGATTAACAGGTGTAAAGCTAGGGTTGGGTTCATGGTTTGGGTTCATGAGTTAATTGGTGCAAAGCTAGGGTTAGGTTAGGGTTGGGTTAGGTTTAGTGTTGGGGTTAGGTTTGGTTAAGTTAAGTTAAGTTAGGTTAGGATATGTAGGATTATGAAGGGTTAGGTTAGGGTTAAGCCAGGGATATGGTTATGCATTAACAAGCAGGGGTAAAGGCTAGGTTAGTTACAGTTATGTTTGGGTTAGGTTCATGATGACGTTATGGTTTGTTTATAGACAAGATATAAAGTAATGGTTTGGTTTAGTTAGCCTGTGCTAACTTCTGAAGTTAGAAAAAAAATGTACAGGTAGGAAATCACAGGTAAATTTGGTGAAACAGTTAAAAACTAAATTTGTGTTTAGTTTAAACGTTACGGGTAGAGGCTGGGCTTGAGGTAACGGGTGGACATTTTTATAGGATGAATTGACACAATTAGGTTAATTTGATAATTAGTGTGTGTGTTTGTGTGTTTACTGCACTTAGTCATGACAAAAATAATGGCTAGTTAAAAATATCTTTAAAAAAAACTAATTTGTATACCAGTAGCATAGCTGATTGAGGTTGTTAGATGGTCAAAACAATCCAGGAATCCATATATATATATATATATATATATATATATATATATATATATATATATATATATATATATATATATATATATATTAGTGTGTATGTGTGTGTAGATTGAATGTTTTCATATACACCACCATAACAAAATCCTGCCTATGCCACAGCTAGTTATATGATAATTTTAAAAATTAATTTTTTTTTATTTATCATGTTATCGTGTCAGTGACTGCAACACTGTGTCTATTCAAGTCTGGTTATCAGTGTAGGACAACCTTCCCCCCCCTCCCGCCCCGCCCCACCCCACCCCACCCTAACATGCAGGGTTCTCATGCACACGAGGAATAGAAACAACCCATGCACAAAATGTTTGTGTTGATTTCAATCATTGCATAGGACGTGTGTACAAAGAAGATCACTAGACCAGTATAAGACCAAGATAAGACCAAGATTACACCAATACTGTCTACTGATACTTTCTTGATTGTATTTAAAAAAAAATAATTTAAAAAAAACCAGTTGGATTTAAATTGAATTATTTTTCAATTTCGAGAAACATTGGACGGATAAATCCACGTGAATGCACTTTTTAAAAATTCGATGCTCTGTGTGTGTCACTGAGTGAAATTTTATTGTGCTGTGGATTTATCTTTAAGCTTTCTTTAAACTTTCTGCTGGAAATTTTGGTTCGATGAAATATTTTTTAAAGAAAACAAAATCAGCCTCATCATGCAATTGGTCACTGTTGTTAAAAACACATTAGGATTGCACTAGAAATATATTAGGATAACATTAGGATAACATAGGAATAACATTAGGAAAACAATAACATTGGATGATAGAGTTGTGTTATATGTTACGAGCCGACCCGCAGCGTATCATACGCCGCTATTTAGTTGTTTTATTTTCTACTTTTCAGTAATTCATAATTTGTAAATTCGACAGTACCAATGCTGCCATTGAAAATATTTGCTTTAAAACACTACCCCCCCCCCCACTTTCCCCTAACCGCGACCCTACACCCCCCCACCCGTGAAAGCAGCCTCCTCTTAGTTATTTCTTAGTTACCTCCTGTAAGTTTAAAATCGAACTAAATTATCTGCCCCTAATAGAAACCCGGCTGTACGGTTCTTCGATTTGTAAACATTTAGCTTTGTAAAAATTTAGAGTGAACACCGCTCACCAGACAATGTTGGGGTGGGGTGGGGGAGGGGGGGGGGGGTGGTAGTGATAGTGATAGAGAGAAAGAGAGGGGACTGCAAGGAGGCGCTTGCAGCTTGTTTTCTAACTGATCCTAGAAGAGAATTATATATATAGATGTGTACTTTATCTACTGCTCTACTGCTGTTAAGTTGTTATAAAAACAGTGATAACTTCTAGGTAAACGACATAAGAGATATTATCCATTCCGATATCAAATAATAAAAACAAATATTAGTTATTGAAAACAATATTTTTTTCTTATAAATTTTAATATGTAGTTACATTTTATCAAAAGGAAAAAAATAAAAAGGGAGATTATCAATCAATGGGTTATTTATAAAGGGCGGCTACTGTTTGGTTATTTATTTCTTGCTTTTTTGGTCGACGGGGATAGGTGCACAATAAATATTCCTGACAATTTAGTAAGCAGGAATTTATTAAATTATTGAGCTTTATTCAAGATATGTTTGTTGTTTATTATGTGGATTTTGTTGGTTTTAATTATGAATTTTTATATAGCAGGTTGCGTTGTGTGAAACGGTACCTGTAAAACCTGTTTACAAAATATATTAAAGGAAAAGTTTCGTAACATTATGTTACAGTAAAATTGAAATTTTTTAAAATGCTTTGAATACTAATGTTTAGGTTCCCTTTTGTCCGGTTTTAAAACAATGTAAATCAACCAAAACATTCATATTAAAAAAAATGTAATAATAAAAACATATATATATAGGAGATATATATATATATATATATATATATATATATATATATATATATATATATATATATATATATATATATATATATATATATATTTATATATATATTTATATATATATATACATACATACATATATATATATATATATATATATATATATATATATATATATATATATATATATATATATATATATATATATATATATATATATATATATCCTTCACAATACAAACAACTTCTGCAAATAAAATACTAATTTAAACTGGCTGTACTAAAAAAAAAATTTTTTTTGAAGATTTAAATAATGATAAACCCGTTCCATGGGAAGTAACAATGAAAATGTAAAAAACAAATCTGGATCATTAGTTCCTTCCCTTGAATTTTGCACACCAAAAAATTGTACATTCAGTTGCAATTTTATTGTTAGCTAAGATGTTTACGTATTTCATTTGTCCATAATCATCTCATAGATAGGTCTGAATTAATCTCATCTTAATCGTGTCGCTTCACTTTTCACCAGTGTAGCTTCACGTTTCACACGGGTCATTGTATGTAGAATAATAATATGGACAAATAAAGGCCTACTTTGAATGATCTGCCATTTTTTAAATTGCAGATCACAAGCTGTCATGCAAAAAATAAAAAATAAAACCAATAATAGGTTTTAGTGGAACTGTTGTTATAGAATGCAAATTTATTCCTAATGGGGTCTGGGTAAACAATGGAGGAGAAAATGATAGAGGATAAAGTTAATGCTGGAAGGGCTGACCAGGGCTGGGGTTTAATGGGGGAGTGGGAGGGAAGGGTATATGGGGTGAGGGGGTGAGTGAGTGAAGCGGGGAGTAAATCGGAGTTAATAAAAAGGGAGGGGTAGGATATATTTTGTGAGTGAGGAGGGGGAGGGTAGGAGTGATGCGAATAAAAGACTGAGAGAAACAGACGTCGAACAGGAGATAAAACAATTGGTGGTCAGATTTAGCGGGTCATTCTCTCCTGGTATGGGCACCATTGGAACCGGTGGTTAGGTGTCCGTTTTCGTAGGACCATTTCACAAAAATAACTTGCCCACTTGCCTACAACAATATCTTTTAAATAACTTGCCCACTTGCCTACAACAATATCTTTTAAATAACTTGCCCACTTGCCTACAACAATATCTTTTAAATAACTTGCCCACTTGCCTACAACAATATCTTTTAAATAACTTGCCCACTTGCCTACAACAATATCTTTTAAATAACTTGCCCACTTGCCTACAGCAACATCTTTAAAATAACTTGCCCACTTGCCTACAACAATATCTTTAAAATACTTGCCCACTTGTTAACCAATACTAAATAAGAAACGGACAATTTCCAACTAATTAATAGCTAACTTACCATCAAACTATTATGTTAATGGCTCATTATTTCGGTGACGAAAATTACAAAAATTGACCACTCCCTATAAGTCCATGTTAGTTCCCTCCACAAAATGACCGCTCCCTCATTAAGTCCATGTTAGCAGAAGTTCCGTCCATAAAATGACCACTCCCGCATTGATTAAATTCACGTCTGCAACATTTTCCCGCTCCTTTCTGCATTTGTCCATTCAATAAAATGGTCGTCGGTTGAAGCAAATGATTTGTCAATAATAGAAATCAATATCAAAATCTTATCGAACCGTGAGCATGGTGGGGAGGGGGGGGGATTTTATCGTTTAACTGGGGTAAGTTGAGAGATATATAAAATCATAGAGAATAGCATGCGGGGGAAAGAGGGGGGGGGGGGGGGGGGGTTGGTACTAGTAGCATGGGTGGGAGGATCAGTAGCACGTCAGCTGTCAAAGTAGGTCAATGCCTTTACTAGGTCAGGTGTTAAAGTAGGTTAGCAGTCATAGTAGGTCAATGCCTTTAGTAGGTCAGGTATTAAAGTAGGTCAAAAGCTATAATAAACAGTTAACTTGTGTTGTTCAATCGTTGGTTAAAAGTTCTAGAATAGGTCAGTAGTTAGTGATACAGAGGTCAGTGGGACAGAGGTCAGTGGGACAGAGGTCAGTTGTACAGAGGTCAATGGGACAGAGGTCAGTGGAACAGAGGTCAGTGGGACAGAGGTCAGTGGGACAGAGGTCAGTGGGACAGAGGTCAGTTGTACAGAGGTCAATGGGACAGAGGTCAGTGGGACAGAGGTCAGTGGGACAGAGGTCAGTGGGACAGAGGTCAGTTGTACAGAGGTCAATGGGCCAGAGGGAAGCAGGCAGTCTTGCAGGTGCAGGAAGAATCGTGTACATGTCAGCATGGTACGTACAAGGTGGGTATGGTTGAAGTGGACTCATGGTTTAGCGAAACAGGAAGTAAAGCGGGAACGAGGCTGCAAGTTGTTTTAAAGTTGGGTAAATCGAACGAGGAAAGTCCTCAGTACTCACATGAAGATTCTATGGTATGAGCGCGTGCTCTGACGTAAGGTGGCCGTTTGTGAACTGGAAGTAAATAAACATAGGGCACAGGTGTTGGAGAGTAAGGGTGGGGGGGGGGGGAGTAGGGCACATGTGTTGGAGAGTAAGGGTGGGGGGAGTAGGGCAGTGTTGGAGAGTAATGGTGGGGGTGGGTTGGGCACAGGGGCTGGAGAGTAAGTGGGGGAGGGGGGTAGGGCACAGGTGTTGGAGAGTAAGGGAGAGGGGTGAGTAGGGCACAGGGGCTGGAGAGTAAGGGAGAGGGGGAGTAGGGCACAGGGGCTGGAGAGTAAGTGGGGGAGGGGGGTACGGCACAGGTGTTGGAGAGTAAGGGGGGAAGGGGGAGTAGGGAATAAGGGCTGGAGAGTAAGGGGAGAGGGGAGTAGGGCAGAGGGACTGGTAGGGAGGTGTGTGCTCCATTCTGACACAGTGTGTACATTAGACTTGCTGGATAAGCTAGAGGAATGTATAATGTATGGGGGATTATGAGGCAGTATTATTATTTTTATACATACTGCATACTGAAGATAACTTATGGGGGATTATGAGGCTGTATTATTATTTGTATACATACTACATACTGAAGATACTTAGCGATTAGTAGTGGGTTTATTATAGTAAAAAGACACGGAAAAAAAAACATAACATGAGGCGAAAAATGTTGGACAGATAAGTGAAAGTAAGAGAAAAAAATGTTTGTTATCGTGATAACAAAAGAAAAACAAGTTATAGCTGTAATGATTCGTTTCTCTAATGAAAGGTTGCATTTCACTTTCATTCATCTTCTGCTGTAGTGCTACCATCAGCTGTAGTGCTACCATCTGCTGTAGTGCTACCATCTGGCTTAGTGCTACCATCTGCTGTAGTGCTACCATCTGCTGTAGTGCTACCATCTGCTGTAGTGCTACCATCTGCTGTAGTGCTACCATCTGCTGTAGTGCTACCATCTGCTGTAGTGCTACCATCTGCTGTAGTGCTACCATCTGCTGTAGTGCTACCATCTGCTGTAGTGCTACCATCTGCTGTAGTGCTACCATCTGCTGTAGTGCTACCATCTGTTGTAGTGCTACCATCTGCTGTAGTTGTACCATCTGCTGTAGTGCTACCATCTGTTTTAGTGCTACCATCTGCTGTAGTGCTATCATTTAATTTAGTGCTACCATCTGCTGTAGTGTTACCATCCCGTTTAGTGCTACCATCTGCTGTAGTGCTACCATCTGCTGTAGTGCTACGATCTGCTGTAGTGCTACCATCAGCTGTAGTTGTACCATCTGCTGTAGTGCTACCATCTGCTGTAGTGCTACCATCTGCTGTAGTGCTACCATCTGCTGTAGTGCTACCATCTGCTGTAGTGCTACCATCAACAACACAGCACCATCTGTCCTCTACACCCAACACCACCACAAACCTCACACACCACTACCCTGTGGTCAATGACCCGAAAATCCCCTCCATATTTTCCTACACCAGCCACCCCCCCAGACCCCCAGAGACAGGGGGTGAGGGGTCACCCTAGATTTATCCTAGACCCCCAGAGATGGGGGTCACCCTAGATTTAACCGAGACCCCAGAGACAGGGGTCACCCTAGATTTAACCGAGACCTAAGAGACAGGGGTCACCCTAGATTTAACCGAGACCCCAGAGACAGGGGTCACCCTAGATTTAAACCAGACCCCCAGAGACAGGGGTCACCATAGATTTAAACCAGACCCCCAGAGACAGGGGTCACCCTAGATTTAACCCAGACCCCCAGAGACAGGGGGGTCACCCTATATTTAAATCAGACCCCCCAGAGACAGGGGTCACCCTAGATTTAACCCCAACCCATCATCCGCCACCCCGGGTACTGTTCAAACGACATCCTAACGAGGGAGTCATCAGAAAAAGATCCCCAATTCATTCCTCCCTAAACCAGGCAATAAAAGACTCCAGCGGCTGGGATTAATTTTTTTTAGCCCGTCAGATATTCCTATTGATGGTCGGGATGTTTAAGGCCAATCAAATAATCATCAAAAGCTATTTCCCGCAGGAGAAGTCACAAAAATATATTGTTTTCGGTGCGCATGTACAAAAAATGTCGTTCCCCCCCCCTCTCACCGCCGGACGTTGTGAATTTTTTCTATTATCTATAACGTTTGCAGCATTTCTGCTGGTTCGCGCCAATTTGTAAACCTGACGTCAGCCGGTGTCAAATGATGGTGTCAAATGATGTGGTGTTTGATGTGTGGCAGGGTGTGTCGTGTGAGGGTGGTGTGTCGTGTGAGAGTGGTGTGTCGTGTGAGGGCTGGTGTGTTGTGTGAGTGTGGTGTGTTGTGTGAGTGTGGTGTGTCGTGTGAGGGCTGGTGTGTCGTGTGTGTGGTGTTTCGTGTGAGGGTGGTGTGTCGTGTGAGGGCTGGTGTGTCGTGTGAGGGTGGAGTGTCGTGTGAGGGTGGTGTGTCGTGTGAGGGCTGGTGTGTCGTGTGAGGGTGGAGTGTCGTGTGAGGGTGGTGTGTCGTGTGAGGGCTGGTGTGTCGTGTGTGTGGTGTTTCGTGTGAGGGTGGTGTGTCGTGTGAGGGCTGGTGTGTCGTGTGAGGGTGGTGTGTTGTGTGAGGGTGGTGTGTTGTGTGAGGGTGGAGTGTGAGTGTGAGTGTGGTGTGTCGTGTGTGGTGTGTCGTGTGAGGGTGGTGTGTCGTGTGAGGGTGGTGTGTCGTGTGAGGGCTGGTGTGTCGTGTGAGGGTGGTGTGTTGTGTGAGGGTGGAGTGTGAGTGTGAGTGTGGTGTGTCGTGTGAGGGTGGAGTGTGAGTGTGAGTGTGGTGTGTCGTGTGTGGTGTGTCGTGTGAGGGTGGTGTGTCGTGTGAGGGTGGTGTGTCGTGTGAGGGCTTGTGTGACGTGTGAGGGCTAGTGTGTCGTGGTGACAGTTGGTGTATCTGTTGTTAATCTTAAATTTGAATTTGTTTATGAATTAAATGTTAGTATACAACACACTTTCATTATGTGTGGGTTTTTTTTTTTCAATACATCGCCCACCACACATTAACTAATAATTTACATATCACACGAAAATGAAATTATCCCCAGTTCCTTAACTTTCTCGCCTAGCTTCCAGTCCCCATTACTTTCGCCTACCCACAGTCCCCGTTACCTCGCCTAGTCTCTCCCCCATCCCCAATACCTCGCCTACCCCCAGTCCCTCGCCTACCCCGTCCCCATTACCTCGCCTACCCCCCCCCCCCCCCCCCCCCCATTACCTCGCCTAGTCTCTCCCCCATCCCCATTACCTCGCCTACCCCCAGTCCCCATTACCCCACCTACCACCAGTCCCCATTACCTCGCCTACCCCCAGTCCCTCGCCTACCCCGTCCCCATTACCTCGCCTACCCCCAGTCCCCATTCCCTCGCCTACCCCAGTCCCCATTACCCCACCTACCACCAGTCCCCATTACCTCGCCTACCCCCAGTCCCCATTCCCTCGCCTACCCCAGTCCCCATTACCTCGCCTACCCCCAGTCCCCATTACCTCGCCTACCCCCAGTCCCCATTCCCTCGCCTACCCCAGTCCCCATTACCTCGCCTACCCCCAGTCCCCATTCCCTCGCCTACCCCAGTCCCCATTACCTCGCCTACCCCATTACCTCGCCTACCCCCAGTCCCCATTACCTCGCCTACCCCCAGTCCCCATTCCCTCGCCTACCCCCAGTCCCCATTACCCCACCTACCACCAGTCCCCATTACCTCGCCTACCCCATTCCCTCGCCTACCCAAGTCCCCATTACCTCGCCTACAACAGTCCCCATTCCCTCGACTACCCCCAGTCCCTCGACAACCCCCAGTCCCCAATACCTCGCCTACCCCAAGTCCACATTCCCTCGCCTACCCCCCATTCCCTCGCCTACCCCCCCCCCATTCCCTCGCTTAGCCCCAGTCCACATTCCCTCGCCTACCCCCCATTCCCTCGCCTACCCCAGTCCCCATTCCCTCGCCTACCCCCATTCCCTCGCCTATCCCAGTCCCCATTCCCTCGCCTACCCCAGTCCCCATTACCTCCCCTATCCCAGTCCCCATTCCCTCGCCTACCCCAGTCCCCATTACCTCCCCTACCCCAGTCCCCATTCCCTCGCCTACCCCAGTCCCCATTACCTCGCCTACTACCAGTCCCCATTCCCTCGCCTACCCCAGTCCCCATTACCTCGCCTACCCCCAGTGATCTCCGTCCAAGCCGTCTGGACGTCTGTTTAGTATCTACAGACGGGCCCTTGTGATGAGACGCCACAGGGGTATAATTTTATTACACGAACCCACATCATTTGGGGACGTCATTCACGCCGCAAGGGCAGATAACTAGGTGGAGATTTCAAAGGCAAAGAAAATCCCGACACGAAATGTTGTAGATGTTATCTCCCCTGCCCGGGTCTGCAGACTGAGAGACAATTCTTGGGTTTTAGCTCCTTCATACCGTTGTTATTGTTGGCACTTCATCTTGTTATTGTTGGCACTTCATCTTGTTATTGTTGGCACTTCATCTTCTGTTATTGTTGGCACTTCATCTTGTTATTGTTGGCACTTCATCTCGTTGGCACTTCATCTTGTTATTGTTGGCACTTCATCCCGTTGTTATTGTTGGCACTTCATCTTGTTATTGTTGGCACTTCATCTTATTAGTGTTGGCACTTCATCTTGTTATTGTTGGCACTTCATCTTATTAGTGTTGGCACTTCATCTTGTTATTGTTGGCACTTCATCTTGTTATTGTTGGCACTTCATCTTGTTATTGTTGGCACTTCATCTCGTTGGCACTTCATCTTGTTATCGTTGGCACTTCATCTTGTTATTGTTGGCACTTCATCCCGTTGTTATTGTTGACACTTCATCTTGTTATTGTTGGCACTTCATCTTCTGTTATTGTTGGCACTTCTTCATCTTCTGTTTTTGTTGGCACTTCATCTTCTGTTATTGTTGGCACTTCATCTTGTTATTGTTGGCACTTCATCCCGTTGTTATTGTTGGCACTTCATCTTGTTATTGTTGGCATTTCATCTTGTTTGTGTTGGCACTTCATCTTCTGTTATTGTTGACCCTTCATCTTCTGTTATTTTTGGCACTTCATCTTCTGTTATTGTTGGCACTTCATCTTGTTATTGTTGGCACTTCATCTTGTTATTGTTGGCACTTCATCTTATTAGTGTTGGCACTTCATCTTGTTATTGTTGGCACTTCATCTTGTTATTGTTGGCACTTCATCTTCTGTTATTGTTGGCACTTCATCTTCTGTTATTGTTGGCACTTCTTCATCTTCTGTTATTGTTGGCACTTCTTCTTCTTCTGTTATTGTTGGCACTTCATCTTCTGTTACTGTCGGCACTACATCTTGTTATTGTTGGCACTTCATTCCGTTGTTATTGTTGGCACTTCATCGTGTTGGCACTTCATCTTCTGTTATTGTTGGCACTTCATCTTCTGCTAGTGTTGGCACTTAATCTTGTTATTGTTGGCACTTCATCTTCTGTTATTGTTGGCACTTTATCTTCTGTTATTGTTGGCACTTCATCGCGTTGTTATTGTTGGCACTTCATCTTGTTATTGTTGGCACTTCATCTTGTTATTGTTGGCACTTCATCTTGTTATTGTTGGCACTTCATCTCGTTGGCACTTCATCTTGTTATTGTTGGCACTTCATCTTCTGTTATTGTTGGCATTTCATCTTGTTATTGTTGGCACTTCATCTTGTTATTGTTGGCACTTCATCTTGTTATTGTTGGCACTTCATCTTGTTATTGTTGGCACTTTATCTTCTGTTATTGTTGGCTTTTCATCTTCTGTTATTGTTAACAATCTAACATTTTCTGTCATTTCATATTGTTAACCTATCATTTGTGTTTTTTACACTTTAAAAACATTATTTAAAATATTTTTTTTTCAAATTGCTAAATTAATTCCAATTTCGTTTTAGATAGTACGATTGTTTTAAAAATTAAAACAGCATAAAAAATAATTTAAATATTTTCCTTAAATTGCCAAAAAAAGAATTTTAAATTTCCTGTACCTAGGCGTGAAAAAATCTTTAATTTCCTGAATGTTGCTTTAAAATTCCGAATCTGTTTTAGCGACAAGAATTTTTTTTTTGGCTTGTCAGTTGAAGGAGGAACGACAGCCAATAGACGGCAACGACAAATGGCATGGAGATACAGGACGGAGATGCACTTTAGGATTTCTTGATGCCTGGTTCACAGGTACTTGTTCAAGTTCTAGTTGATTGATTTTATGGTAGGTCAGTGGGCCGATATTGGTGGGCCGATATTGATGGGCCGAGACGACATTTGTGGGCCGATATTGGTGGGCCGAGACGACATTGGTGGGCCGATATTGGTGGGCCGATATTGGTGGGCTGATATTGGTGGGCTGATATTGGTGGGCCGATATTGGTGGGCCGATATTGGCGGTCGATACTGGTGGGCTGATATTGGTGGGCCGATAAGATATTGGTGGGCCGATATTGGTGGGCCGATATTGGCGGTCGATATTGGTGGGCTGATATTGGTGGGCCGATATTGGTGGGCCGATATTGGCGGTCGATACTGGTGGGCTGATATTGGTGGGCCGATAAGATATTGGTGGGCCAAGACGACATTGGTGGACCGATACTAATGGAGTGATATTGGTGTGTCATGATGATATTGGTGGGCCCGGTCGATATTATTGTTCCGATATAGCTGGGCCGATACTGTTGTGCCAATATTGGTGGTCCTAAATTGCTGGATTTTATCGGTGGGCCTGTACTAATGGGCTTCTATTGGTGGGCCGATAATGATGGGCCGATATTGGTGGGCTATTTGTGGACGGATATTTGTGAGCTGACATTTGTGAGCTACAATTATCGGACTTAACAGATTTAGTTTTGCATCAAGGATTATACAAATTAGCCTAATTAGGAAGAGGACGCCAGTACACATTAAAACCGGTGGGGCATGGGACGTTAATACAAGTCCAATTCGATGAGACAGATGACGTTAATACACGTCCAATTTGATGTGAGAGAGGACGTTAATACACGTCCAATTTGATGTGAGAGAGGACATTAATACACGTCCAATTTGATAGGACAGATGACGTTCATACACGTCCAATTTGATGGGACAGATGACGTTAATACACCTCCAATTTGATGTGGGAGAGGACGTTAATACACGTCTGATTTAATGGGACAGATGACGTTAATACATGCCCAATTTGATGGGAGAGAGGACGTAAATACACGTCCAATTTGATAGGACAGATGACGTTAATACATTCCAATTTAACAATCCAGAAGACGTCAGTGCACACAACCAAATCGACGAGGCAGTAGACGTCTCTAGACGTCCTATACTAATGGATCCTAATCGTCCACATATCTCGCTTAAATAAACAGTGCTGGGGACGGAGGGGAGGGGGTAATTATGTCTATTTTGGGAATCTCCGATAAAACTCCACAATCCGGCGTCGCTAATTTCGTCAAATGCACGGCGCTCTTGCTAGCAAATAACCCCAGCATCGGTTTGGCACACGTTGGTTTAATGTTAGCTGGTCCGTGTTGTCTTCATATAGATCCAGCTATGATGATCGTGTCAGTTAAGATAGTAGACCGTTAATATAAATAAAGTAAAGGACGAAGGTTTATTGATGCTGCTTAAAGTATTAGTTTAATTCGCGGGAGTGGGTGGTATGATGCTAGTAAATCATGACCCAGTAGCAGAAGAAATAGTAGCAGTCAGAGATGATGTAAGGCAGAGATCACGAGATATAGATGTAATGGAGATGGGATCATAACAACAATGCTCTAGATTAATTTGATTAGGGAAAAAAATATTGATAAAAAATGTAATTAATTAAGACGTAGGCCAGCGTTGGGTCAAAATAAAAAATTTGACGCCCGCTAAATGAGATCAGCGGGTCGCTTTAATCACAAACATGGGTTGGGGTTTGGCTACACGACTTGGTGGTCAAGTCGGTTCGTCGCTGGATTACACAGCCAGCAGTAGGAGTTCTAATCCCTGTTGGAATACGTTTTACATAACACATCTGTAGATACCTTTTCAACACCCCTCTACAACAAGGTTTCTTTCATGCTTTTTTTCTCCGAGTTGGGGGGGGGGGGGGGCCCTTGAAATTGGTAAGTGGACATTGGTAAAAGTATAATTTTTCTTTCTCCCTTCATGAAGAGATGCCTGAAAGAAACTCTGCTCTTCAAACACCTCTTTATACAACACCTTAAAACACCTCCCTACAAGTACCTCCGCGTACCCCTCCCTCTAGTATCGCACCCCTAAGAATTAGTCCATTTCAACATAATGTTTTCTTCATGATGGGACCGGGCTAGTGAATACGATATCACATGCAGACATTCACCGCAAACAACGACACATTTTTAGATGAAGGTCTGTGTATGTTCAAGTAATGAAGACAATATGGAGATAACATTTCGTGCTGGATTCTAGAGTTGAACATCAAGCAACATCGACATAAGCAGTGAGACAACATTGACAGTTCTATACACACTAACAGTGAGTCACATACTACAAGGTTTTATACAACACATATGAGCAGGATAGGAGACACAGTGGCTGGCATTGTGGCAATAACCGTGCATTGTGACACTGACAGTGTGACAGTGACAACCAGCGGGCGTCACGTGACAGGGTGTGTGTAGGTGAGGATGTAAAATAACACGGCGGGAATCGATATTGGCAGTACGTAAATAGCGTGGAGATTCAGCGCAAAACGCGCAATTAGAGCATGGTTGACGTGGGGCTGGGGGAAGGTGGGTGGGGGTGGGGGATGGCAGATGGTTGTGTAATTCTAGAGCTTCGTATCTAGGTTAATATATATATATATATATATATATATATATATATATATATATATATATATATATATATATATATATATATGTGTGTGTGTGTGTGTGTGTATGTGTGTGTTTGTTAGTGTGTGTTACGTACTGCGAATATCGTTGTGGGAAACGATTGCTTGTTTGAGTAACCTTGACCTTTGACCGGCTTACCTATGTCCATATGGTTGAGACCGGAGCCCTCTCCTCCGCCTCCGTCCCTCCCCCTGTCCACATCAGCTCCGTCCCTGACCATGGAGGTCAACATGTCCCTCTCGTCCGCCAGGGGCCGCCCGTCCCCCGGGCCGTCCCTCGACCGACCGGGCCGCGAGAGGTTGCCGTCGTCCTCGTCCCGGGCGCCGTGGGAGGACAGCCGCGACTGGGACGCCCCTGCCTCGGCGCCCTCTCGATCGTCGGGGGCGCCGGCCTGCCCCATCCTGTTGAGCGGCACCGCCTCTTCGTTCTGGGACGGGTTCTCTGGGTCTGCGGGCGGCTGCTGGCTCTTCTCCGCGGAGGTCTTGACGCGGGTGCGGATGTCGCGCCGTATGGAGGGCAGGCGGAGCTTGAAGCTGCGGTGTCGACCTGGTGATACAAGAATCTTCATATACAGACACGGTGTCGGGTCAATGTAGACACGGTGTCATGTCAATGTAGACACGGTGTCATGTCAATGTAGACACGGTGTCATGTCAATGTAGACACGGCCTAAATGTAGACACGGTGTCAATGTAGACACGGTGTCAGGTCAATGTAGACACGGTGTCAGGTCAATGTAGACACAGCGTCAAGTCAATGTAGACACGGTGTCCGGTCAATGTAGACACGGTGTCTGGTCAATGTAGACACGGTGTCATGTCAATATAGACAGTCTGGTCTATAGGCACGACTGTCTTGTCAATAACTTGACATCGTCAGAAGAAAAGGTCCTTGTCCAGACTTGGCAATACTCTCAGTCTAGTCAACAAAGGTTTATTGTACTGATAGATTTCTTACATTGATCATATTAATACATTATTTTCAATACGCAACACATGCCATTTAGTTAACAGTCTAGTCAAAGCTTAGACAACATCACAAGTCCTATTCGGTTAGAAATAGTCAATCCTCTTAAAATTTGGAATAAAATAAATCAATTTTATAAAATTTTAATTAAAAAAAAACTGTAACCACTTAAAAATTAATCCATATTAACGTTTTTCTATTAATCTCTAATCTAAACTTTAAAAACCGTGGTCCTTAAGTCTATATTTAAATTTGTCTTAACTCTTAAAGCTGAGGCCTGATTTAAGTTAAAACCTTGTACAAAAAAAACCCCTAGTTCAATCGGTTCTTGTACTTCATACGTACACAAAAATCAATACGGTAGCCACAGTGTTAAGAGCTAGTTCAGACACAGTTTCAGATAGAAGACAACTTGTAGAGCTTAATGCAGCTCTAGTTTTATCCTCAGGCAAAACACTGTCAGTTGATAACTTTTTGTTGTCAGTTGTCAATTTTTTGTTGTTGTCAGTTGTCAACTTTTTTTGGTCAGTTGTCAACTTTTTGTTGTTGTCAGTTGTCAGCTTTTTATTGTTGTCAGTTGTCAACTTTTTATTGTTGTCAGTTGTCAACTTTTTGTTGTTGTCAGTTGTCAACTTTTTATTGTTGTCAGTTGTCAACTTTTTGTTGTCCTTTGTCAAATTTTTTGTTGTTGTCAGTTGTGAAAAATTGTCAGTTGTCAACTTTTTGTTGTCAGTTGTCTACCTGCTTTTGTCAGGAAATAATTTACAAAAGTAAATATGAAAATAAAGACAATTTAATGTAATGTACAACATAAAAAAACACCAATAAAATATTGAATAAAACTTTTAAAAAGCGATTTCTTTAAAAATGTGTACAGCTAGCTAGGTAAATCTTACGTGTAGATACACAATTTAAAATGTGTTGAAAGTTAAGAGAAAAAAAACGACGAAATGTGTAACGGAATGACGACCACACAATGTGCTGTAGTGGACACAGAGTGTGTTATATTAGACACAGAATGTTTATATTGACAAAGTGTTATCCTGGACACATAATGTTTATAAGGACACATTATTATCGTGGACACAACATACAGATGTACGAGATTGAACGAACAACGGAATTCTACTTGTGTGACTTAGTACACCTAAACACAACCGACCTAATCACAACGCTATTTTTAGATGTAAATGTAACAACATGTATTCTTTGTTGTTGTGGGTTAGTTTTCACACAGGAATACAAGCAATAGTGGCAACTTCAAATGATGACTTTATTTACACTATATACAGTGAGAATGATAAATCCATGGTTATTCATGGTAAATCCATATTAGAAGATACTCAACAAGTACAGTCACAGTCACGACTCCAAGTCATGGAGACATCTTACATTCACTGATACAGTTCAAGTTCCAAGTCCTAGCACACAACACCCGTTCACCTTTTTCTCTCCCTTTTATACGGTCCATTCTCTCCCCTTACGTACATGAGCGATCTCACCCAAAAACATGAAAAAACACATGACGATCGCTCAGACAGTCCTTCCGCTAGCCAGGTACTCTTCATTCATGCAAAACACAATATAATAAAGATACATAATTATACAGTCTGTGACAGTAAACACAAACTTTTGGTGACGTAGCACACATATTATTTTGACAGTGTACACAGATTTCGATGACGCAGCACACATACTCTGATGACGTAAAACACAACACATAGTTCCACTTCCGATGTCGTGTCGGACGAAAAACCAAAACTGTGCGGCAGGGCGGAAATATGAGTTCCCAGTGGGTAGTCTGGCACAGTCCAACTACCCAGGGAACAATAGTAGCATTACACCTGCACCCCAGCAGTCCTGCTGCCCACAGCTCACGGCATTCAAACAAATTATCTCCATTCAACACGGCTAATGCACCGCAGACGGCCTAATGACGTAAACAGGCGTTACGTCACGGACCGGAAGCGTCTGCCTGAGCTATCTAAAGTTTTCTGGGCACCAGGGGAATGCAGGTTCTTCTTGTCTACTTAACATGCTCGGCTGACCCCTAGGGCGTATGGTGTGGGGGGGGGGGGGTGACGTGAGCATGCAGGCTTTAACTAGAGCTAAGAGGGAGCTAACATTTTGGTGACGTGACACAATTCGTGGCGTGGGGTGTACGAGGGGACTGAACAGTTTAAAATCTAGTTCAGGTCAGGGGCGGGAGAGTGGGGGAAGGGAAGAAAAGTGTGGGTATGTGTGTGGGTATGTATGTGTATGCGTGTGTGTGAAAGACTTTAGGTACATGTAGTGATGATAAAGTGACTAAAGCTAAGATGGTAAATAACCATCAGACGTGAGGTCACTGGGGAGATCATTTGGTGACCTTGACCACGGCTCTGTCTGGTCAACTGACTTCCTCTCCCCACCCCTGGAACCCGTCTGAGTAGGTTCCGCTTCTCGACGGGTTTCGAACTCATTTCTCTACAGTAAGCAACCGAAACCTCTAGCTCTCACACGAGTCTACAAAACGTTTTGGTTCAAATCCACACTATAGTACCAGCACTTCACTAAAGTTACTCACACACTAGTAAATTTGTTTTAAATGTTTTCATCTTAACATATACCCTTGGTGTTTTAGACAATGTTATCTTGGCCTTGTGGTTTCACGTGGGTAGCTAGATTTGATTGTAAAACAGTGTGATTATGGGACATCTGTTTGATAGATTGGGAACCATTGCTTACTTCACGTTGTTAAATAAACTAGATTTGATTAGATCATAAACGATATTAGAACATTCTTCGGATAAGTTCCAGGCATCGATGACGTCAGTTCGAACTCTCCCAACATCGACCGGCGTGGTACTTACTGTTTGTGAACTTCTTGAGCTCGTTTTTTGAAGCGCTCTCGGTGATGTCCTCGTAGTTGATGATGAACATGATGATGTCACCAGTCTCGTTTTTGACGGGGGCCACCAGCACGCTGCACAGGAACCTGGTGCCTGTAGAAACAAAATGGCGCCGTTACTAACGACTCGGTGCTGGTAGCATAGGATGGGGGGGGGGGGGAAATGTAGAACATAAAAGTGTGAATTCTGTCAGTTTGTGAAGTGATAATTATGTGCCATATCTGTTGGTGGAGTGATGTCTATATTATATGTCAAGTGTTAGCAGAGTGATATATTCATTAGGTGCTAAGTCTGTTAATGAAGTGATATGCACGTGAAATGTTAGTCTACTAGTGGAGTGATATATTTATGTGCCATGCCTGTTAGCGCAATGATATATTCATTGTTATAAATCTGTTTACGAATGCTAAGTCTGTTAGTGGAGTGATATATACATCATATGGCAAGCCTATTGATGAAGTAATACATACATGATATGCTAAATGATGCACATATAAACGCGTGTTTACAAATTGTTGGTAAACAAAGTGCCGGCTAACAAAGTTAACAAAGCTAACCCTAACGTCCCACATATGAACCTGATTAGTCCAGGGTTAGATGACGCTGCCTGACTCTGCCTGACGCTGCCTGACTCTGCCTGACTCTGCCTGACTCTGCCTTAACCATCACCCTAACCCTAACGTCCCACATATGAACCTGATTAGTCTAGGGTTAGATGACGCTGCCTGACGCTGCCTGACTCTGCCTGACTCTGCCTGACTCTGCCTTAACCATCACCCTAACCCTAACGTCCCACATATGAACCTGATTAGTCTAGGGTTAGATGACGCTGCCTGACGCTGCCTGACTCTGCCTGACTCTGCCTGACTCTGCCTGACTCTGCCTTAACCCTCACCCTAACCCTAACGTCACAGTAAGACAGATTGAAGGCTGGGGAATAAGGCGGACTTATTCAGGTCAATTCTCAAGGTCATATTTGTGTCAAGGTCACCACTTACATGCTATCCGGCTTACATATTAGGTTGAGATTTACAGCAATGTTTAAAGATCTACTGTCTGGTTTCGTAACCGCGGGGATAGAGGGAAAAAACTTAACAAGGAGTTCTTCCCCCTTCCCTCCCTCTCACCCCTACCCCATCCACACACCCAATGCACCCTCATTCGGCAACGTTGAGCATTTTTTGTGGTTTAATTTATCACGCTTGGGTGGTTTCATGCAATCATTTCCCGGAGGGAGAAATAAAAATGTTGGGGAGAAAAATCTGGCAACATTCTAGATGTCAGACACGAAATGTTGGGGAGAAAAATCTGGCAACATTCTAGATGTCAGACACGAAATGTTGGGGAGAAAAATCTGGCAACATTCTAGATGTCAGACACGAAATGTTGGGGAGAAAAATCTGGCAACATTCAAGATGTCATACACAAAATTTTGGAGAGAAAAATCTGGCAACATTCTAGATGTCAGATACGAAATGTAAATAAAAATCTGGCAAGATTCTAGATGTCAAACACGAAATGTTGGCGAGAAAAATCTAGCAACATTCTAGATGTCACATACGAAAATGTTGAAGATGAAAATCTGGCAGATTCTAGATGTCAGATACAAAACTGTTGTAAACAAAAAATCTGGCAATATTATAGATGTTAGATACAAACATATTGTAGACAAAAATCTGGCAACATTCTATGTGCTGGACAAGAAATGATAAAGAGGAAATCTGGGAATGCTAAATTTTAGATTTCCCCACAAGAAATATTGCTGTCGGGTTGTCGTGTAGGGGTTGTCCTTATGGTTGTCGTCTTGTTCGACTGCGATGCTGGGTTGGAGCAAGATTTGAAATGGTTGTCACGGGTTGTTCAATAACACTGTTGCCACTAAATCAAGAACCGCTACACCGCAGAGAGATGATTACTTTTTGGGTCAATTATGATTACACAATCAAGAATATTAGCAACAAATTATCCCACTGAAAGAAAGCCAATCAAAGTAAGGTGAAATTCAAATCTCCTTTAAATCCTCAGAGTACAACAAAACACCCCAAGTGCAAAAGAAAGTGGACACATTCTCCAAAAACTAATCTCAATTATTTACAACTAATTACAGTAATAATTTATTAACGAGCTCTGTAACAGGTTTGGGGGTGAGTAGAAGAAATCTGGCCAGTGATGGCAGGAACCGAATCAACGGTACCAGCCTGCTCTTAGGTGTCAGAGGACGGCATATGGAACCCGCTTCTTTTCACTGCTAATTAGTTCCAGGGCTAATTGGTTCCAGGGCTAATTAAAGAGAATGGGTGCGGCCGCAAGGTGCCGGATAATCTCGGCGAGTCCCCGGGGGACGGGACGCGTTTAATCAATCAGCTGAATGGTCCCAGTCTAGCTAAATGGTCCCAGTCTAGCTAAATGGTCCCAGTCTAGCTAAATGGTCCCAGTCTAGCTAAATGGTCCCAGTCTAGCTAAATGGTCCCAGTCTAGCCAAATGGTCCCAGTTTAGCTAAATGGTCCCAGTCTAGCTAAATGGTCCCAGTCTAGCTAAATGGTCCGAGTCTAGCTAAATGGTCCCAGTCTAGCTAAATGGTCCCAGTCTAGCTAAAAGGTCCCAGTCTAGCTAAATGGTCCCAGTCCAGCTAAATGGTCCAGTCTAGCTAAATGGTCCCAGTAAATGATCCCAGTCTAGCTAAATGGTCCCAGTAAAAGGTCCCAGCCTAGCTAAATGGTCCCAGCCTAGCTAAACAGTCACAGTCCATCTAAATGGTCCCAGTCTAGCTAAATGGTCCCAGTCTAGCTAAATGGTCCCAGTAAATGGTCCCAGTCTAGCTAAATGGTCCCAGTCTAGCTAAATGGTCCCAGTAAATGGTCCCAGTCTAGCTAAATGGTCCCAGTCTAGCTAAATGGTCACAGTCTAGCTAAATGGTCCCAGTCTAGCTAAATGGTCCCAGTCTAGCTAAATGGTCCCAGTCTAGCTAAATGGTCCCAGTAAATGGTCCCAGTCTAGCTAAATGGTCCCAGTCTAGATAAATGGTCCCAGTAAATGGTCCCAGTCTAGCTAAATGGACCCAGCCTAGCTAAAAAGTCCCAGTCTAGCTAAATAGTCCTGGTCTAGCTAAATGGTCTCAAACTTGTGACTGTATTCCGTTTTTAAATATGCAAATAGAAAATGTACAAAGCTGAAACCAAAGCTAAATTCAAGTACTTCACCAGCCTATGTTTGGAATTACGTCAAAACTCCCTGAAAGTATTGGGTTACACACCCAGTTTTATAACCCGCCCACCAGCAATATATCCCCACCCACCGAAAGTTTGTCCCCACCCACCAAGAATTGGTCCCCCACCCACCAATAATTTGTCCCTACCAACCCCCAGTTTGTCCCCCACTCACCAAGAATTTGTCCCCCACTCACCAAGAATTTGTCCCTACCAACCACCAGTTTGTCCCCCACCCACCAAGAATTGGTCCCCCACCCACCAATAATTTGTCCCTACCAACCCCCAGTTTGTCCCCCACTCACCAAGAATTTGTCCCCCACTCACCAAGAATTTGTCCCTACCAACCACCAGTTTGTCCCCCACCCACCAAGAATTGGTCCCCCACCCACCAATAATTTGTCCCTACCAACCCCCAGTTTGTCCCCCACTCACCAAGAATTTGTCCCTACCAACCCCCAGTTTGTCCCCCACCCACCAACAATCCCCCCCACCACCCATCAACAGTTTTTCCCCTCTCAACGTGACACATTGTCCCACAAAGCCAGCCTAGTTACTGCCCCTGACCATTATTTATAAGGACGAGTTGACTCCCCTGTCAACCTCTAGTAAATTACCCATTGATGGATGGACGGCGGTGTATTATTTGATTTGCGGAAGCTCCAACTTTCACTTTCCTAGTAAATAAACAGACGAGAAGCGTTCATGTATTTTTTCTCGACAGCCGGTTAAATCAAATTTTCTTTCGCTCGCTTTATAAAAAGAAAATAGCGATGTCACCCCCTCCCCCTCCTTACACAACTAGACACAATTCGTGAACGTCCCCCCCCCCTCCTCTTCACACACATATGGGATATCTCTTATTGAAAGCAGCATTAGTTCATCAGTTTAAAACACAAATTTGGACGTTAGGAGATCAGGTCTGGAAGTTTCGTTCGATGGAGACAATGACATCGGCACGAGATACGTTCAAAGCATCTTTGAAAGACGTACAGACAGATGGACAGACAGACAGACAGATCGATATACGGACAGACAAACGTACAGACAGACGAAAAAAAAAAGACGTACAGACAGAGGATAAAAAGGACAGACGTACAGACAGATGGACAGAAGGACAGATCGAGATACGACGTACATACAGACGGTCAGACAAACGGGCAGACACAAAGACGGAGAGATGGATAGACGGACAAACAGACAGACAGACAAACGGACAGACAGACAGACGGAGAGAAGTACTGACTGACTAATTGACTGGCTGACCCACCGACCGACTGACAGATAGACGGTCAGACAGACGGAGAGGACTGACTAACCCACCGACCGACAGACAGACGGACAGACTGCACTGTCCAACACACCTCCAGAGGACGACCAAAACTTCTGCAGCTTCTTCACTGATGGCGGTAAATTAATTTTAAAAATAGTTCCAGTGACCGACGTAGAAAAACATCACAAGAAAGAAGCCTTGGACTATTTGATTGGACACGCAAACACGGACACCAGGCTCCCCGTGGTAAAAGCTCCCCTCATTTCTTGTCAAATTACCGCCCTACATACAGGTGGGAAAAGGTAATAAGTTTACCTATAAGTGACGTATCATTAAGTGTGTTCTAAGAATAGAAATCTAGGAAGTGTAATGGAGGGTGGGGGATAATGTAAAAAGCTGTGTTGGCTGTCAGTGGTTTGTCTAGCTTGGATGCTTCAGGTTGGCGGTTGTCCTCTGATGTAGGACATCACGTGATTATGTGGACCTCTGAGACATAATAGGACCTAAAGTCTCAACTTATAAGGACACAAGAAACATAGCTCTCTGCTTTACTAGCATTAGTTCTTTAATGTCGATCCTAATTATGCGGAAAGGTCTTTCACTGTAAAACGTC